ATATAGGTTTTTTTTAAAATCACAAATGGTCCCGAGGTTTGTCAAATTTTCACCTTCGGTCCTTTATGTTTTTGTTTTTGACAGTATTGGTCCCTTATGTTAGACCTCACACGTCAATTTGGTCCAGCCGTCAAGCTCCGTCAAAATTTTTCATTAGATTGCTGACGTGGATGCCACATGGATTAAACATTGCTTTAAATATTTTGAGTTTTATCACAAATGGTCCTTAAGGTTTGCAAAATTATCACATTTGGTCCTTTATTATTTTTTTTTCCTGACATTATTAGTCCTTATGTTACACCTCACACATCAATTTGATCCTACCATGATATTTTGTTAATTTTTTTTGTTAAATTATTGACATGACACATGTGTGGTGCACACGTAGCCAATGAGAAAATGTCAAGTGGATCTAAATGAAGAAATGTTTTATAAAAAATAGTTTAACATTTAAAATATTTTTAAAAAAGAGAGAAAAATTTTAAAACATACATTTTTTTATTCAAATCCACTTGATATGTTATTAATGGACATGTAGGCTCACATACATGTCGCGTCAAATCCGTTAGGTTTTGTTGAAAAACCCTAAATCCTTTAAAAAATAGTTTACAACATTTAAAATGTTTTTTAAAAAAAGAGAGAAAATTTTCAAAACATAATTTTTTTAAATTCAAATCCACGTGAAGTGTTATTATTGGACATGCAGACTCCACATACATATTACGTCAAATCCGTTAGGTTATGTTGAAATTTTCATTAATTTAACAGAAATTTCAACAGAACTTAACGAATTTGACGTGACATGTATATGGAGTCTACATGTCCAATAATAACATTTCACGTGGATTTGAATAAAAAAATAAATTATGTTTTGAAATTTTTCTCTTTTTGTATTAAATTTTTTCTAAAAGATTTTAAATGTTAAATTATTTTAAAAAAATATAAAGGACTAATAATATCAACAAAAAAAAAACATAAATGACCAAAGATGATAATTCCGCAAACCTTAGGGACAATTTGTGATAAAACCCAAAATGTTTAAAACATTGTTTAATCCACATGACGGCCACATCATCAGTCTAACAGAAAATTTTGACAGAACCTGACGGCAGGACCAAATTGATGTGTGAGGTGTAATCAGAGGCGGCCCATGGGGTGTGGGAGGTGTGCGACCGCACAGGGCCCCCAAAATTTAGAGGCCTCCAAATTTTTCCAAGTCAACCCATTAAATTAACTAAAACATGAAAATAAAAATGAAATATTAAATATCATCCCACAACACTACATGCAAGGCACCAAAACCAAAATTGAATTGAATATTAATTATCAACAAATTCTACAACTTAGAGAGTAGAGGCCCTAATTTAATTCATTTTCCTCTTCCCAACTCTCAAGCTGCACAACCATTCTAATATTCTTTTCTCTTTCAGTAAGTCTTTCTCACTCTCCTCCATCAAAATAAAGTCATTTCTCTTTAGTACCAGTGTACCACCCTCTTCCATCAAATTTTGGATTATAAAAACCCAAGCTTTAGCCCTTTCCCCAAAATCACAGTTCTTTTCTCCCTCTCTTATTCACATGAGAATTCACCAAGCATTGAAATTAGAAAATCAATTTATCAGCTCTGTGATTTGGAAGGGTGACTAAAGAAATTGTTCTGGGAAGCTCTTTCCGAATGTGTTCTTCCCGTGTCAGAAATTTTTGTTTCTATATGGATTTTTTTTTTCTGCTTGTATATATAGGGCCTCGACATCCATATTTGTACAGGGCCTCCAAAATCAATGGATCGGCTCTGGGTGTAATATAAGGGACTAACAATGTCAGAAAAAAAAAAAAACATAAAGGACCAAGGGTGATAATTTGGCAAACCTCAGGGACCATTTATGAGAAAAATCCTTATATATATAACTTCAGTTAAAGAATTTATTTAGGAGACACTCCTGTAGATCTCACCACGTATTATATTTCAACTGTATATGTACCCTTTACAAAATTACGTCAATAAAGGTAACTTTCTGCTGTGCATGCAAACCATCCATGTCTAATATGTAATAATTTCATTGACCCAAAAAAAAAAAAGTGAAACATACTTTGGCGGAACTCACGCGATGCACAGGTAATTAGGCAAATTCGTTTTTCAAGGATCAGTTTGACTAAATTGGTAACACATCACTAAGTTAGTAGAAAAATTTGTATCAAACGAGAATATAACTATTTTGTTATCTCTAATTAATTATAAATTTTAATGTAGAAAAATTATCATGTATTGGTCTGGGATAACAAAATAGTGTTATCCCTGTTGCACATAAGTGTTTCTCCTAAATTAAGGACTAGTGTATAATTTATAGATAAAAAAGTAATTCACCCTAATCTCATGTAAGTCATTCTGGTTTGAGATTGTAGATATACCCTTGCGCTGGTAGTGAGAGCAGTCAATCTCCCCTTAAACTTTCGTGTAAAAAAAAAAAAAAAATCAGTTGCTTGTCAAACGTCATTGGTCCACATCATGGGTATATAATAGCTAAGCAAGCATCTTCTATATATTTCAAAGGTGCCAAAGTGACATTTAATAAGGGGCAGATCCCTCCAAACCTGAATTCAATTGAGAACATACAAAGGGATCAATTGAGCATAGTATGCAAGCAGATTTTACTTTTCCTGGGTTATTTTATTTATTTATTTATGATATTTTTTATTGAGATTGACGGTAATATATTAAATTCATACACACTACACTGATAGTAGGACTCAAACCCATAATCTTTCCTGAAGGATCTTTCCCGAAGGACCTTTCCCGAATTAAGTATACATAAGATTTTCAATTACAGAGTGTTTATCGTTATCTGGTCATATGGAAATCAAAATCATTAATAACATAATTAACAAAATCCGGGACATTCATATTAGTATCGCATAACAATCACAAACTTAATAGAAAAGAGACTGCTTAGCTTACCAGAAAAAGAAATGAAAGAATATAAAATCCCACATGCTACTTTGAATGCGTTTTGGCTGTATCAGGCCTCATCTGCACTTGATATGAACTTGCTTGGTAGCATTCAAATGCAGCTTCCTACTAAATCTTCTACATATCTAGAGCGTTGTCTAGTATTCCGTACTACATATACATGTCTAGAACATATAAGGGAGCAAAGTTTAGGAATATATTATTTGATTGACACTACTTTTTTTCTTAATAAAAATATTATTCTTCAAAAATAACAAACATAAAATAATTTCAGTATTACGAAAATTTGCCCACCATATCTCTTCAGTTTTCTTTGAAAGAATATATGTTTGAAAACATCAATGAAATACTATTACATTAATTTTTGGGCATTTTATTATTTTTCTTAATTTATGCATTTAGTTTCATATCATAATATATTATTATGCATTTAATTTTGTTAATAAATTAGGTATAAAAATTTAAAAAATTATAGAATAAAACGGCCCAACTGGGGATCAAACCAGTGACCTCTTGATTGTAGTCAAATGCTCTATCATTGAGCTATGGACCAACCTTGTTATTAATTTTATATTTTAATAGTTTTTTTCCCATTTCAAATGAAATATTATTACATTAATTTGTGGACGTTATATTTTTTTATTTAATTTTTGCATTTAGTTTCATACCATAAGAATAAGATATTATTATGCATTTTCTCAACAAAAAGAAAAAAGAAAAAAAAGAGAGGATATTATTATGCATTTAATTGTTAATAAATTAGGTAGAAAAACTAAAAAAATTATAATAGAAGGGCCCAACCGGGATCGAACCGGTGACCTCTTGATCTGCAGTCAAATGCTCTACCACTGAGCTATGGACCCATCTTGTTAATAATTTTATATTTTAATAGCTTTTTCCATTTCATTTGGCTATCAAAATAGTCATCATACCTCATTTTTTATTATATAAAAAGAAAAGAAAAAGCCGAGAAGGGTTCTCCTTTAGTAAAAAAAGAAGGAGAAATGCATAATGATGATGATGATGATGATGATTATTTATTAGTATAAGTGATAGTCTAAACTACATGAGAGGAATATTTTTCATACACACACAACTATGATGCCGTGGGAATTCGAACCTGAAACCTCTGATCTATAAACCAAGATTCTTTTCTACTGGATTAGACCCTATTTGACTCATAATGATTATTTTAGAATGCAAACAACTCTCATTAAAAAAACTAGAGAAGGTAGCTTAAGGCAAAGATGGTCATTGGACACCTAGAATAGCAAATGGGTGTCTTGTTACTTATTGTCCATCATGGGCCTAAGCTCCAACTTAAGATGTATTGGTTCCAGAGCAGGTGCCCATTTGTTAATCTCGGTATCCAATGACCATTCTTACTTGCATTACTTGCGCGAGGAGAAAGAAAGAAGAGGGAGTCGTAAGAAAAAGTCTTTTATCTTAAATAACAATGCAGATGAAGTAGAAAGTTTTACAATTTTGAGAATAAATCTTGCCACCTCAACAACAAGGGATTTGTAGCTTAAGTGGTTAAAAGTAGTTACCCATACATTCAAGGTCCTAGGTTTGATTTCTCCCTCCCCTAATATTGCTTGTATTAAAAAAAAAAGCAAAAACCTTACTACCTCAACATTTAGAGTCTGTCTTTGATTTTTCTCTCCCCAGTATTAATTGAAAGATGTCTCAAATTAAACTCATATGAAAACGATGATGATATATATTTGCCGTGAGTTCAATACCTTTGTGGCTATATGGCGTAACTTCATTACAAGTGTACTCCATTGTCAACATATTTATGCAATTAATATCCTAAAAAACAAATTGGTTGTATATTAAAAAAAAAAAAAAAAACTCACTACAGAATAGGAAACAAAATAATAAATCATTCTCTACTACCCCAGCCCAATATGTAAAAGCAAAAGTTGGACACAATTTCAATAGATTAAATTATTTTAGCACCGAAATACTTCTTTTCTTTTTCTTTTTCTTCTCGATACATGATGGTTGACCGACAAAAAAAAAAACGAAAAAAAAAGAAAACGCCTTGCCAACGTACTTTTGTCCTCCACTCTCGTCTTTCAAAATTCCCCGCCACCGTCCCCTTTTTCCGTCGCCGAGCTTCGCTGAATCAGCTTTTGCATTCACACTCACTGTCATATTTTACAAAACTTGAACCCAGGTAATCATCTCTCACTCTCTGTAGACTGTTTGTTTTCCGAGAGAAAGCAGGAAAATGAAAGGAATACAAGTGAAAAAAATCTCGGTGTTCGACGACAGGATTCGTTCGTTCGCTTACTTTAGTATATTGATTTTTGTTTCCATTTGTTTTTTCACACAATTTCTCAGATTGCAATTCCATTCTTATACTGACTTTTATTCCTCTTTTAGTCTTTCTGATTTTGTGCTGATAAACCCTGTTTTAGGGCTTTTGTATTTTTCTTTTTACTTACTTAACCTGATCATTTTGAATTTTCTTTTTCTATATTGGAAATTTCATGATGGTTTCAATTTTCATTCATTTTGATACTTTTAGCAAATGCGTTCCTTGAAATTGATATTTCAAAAATTTCCTTTCCATTGCCTTTTTTTCTTCTTTTTATTTTGGATTTTGATTTGAATTTGGGTGGTGGAAATAATCGCATTGGAAAAATACTAGTTGTAATCGGGTAATTGCAAGATTATTGTTTGTTTTATTAGCCATAACAGTTCTGTAGTTTGCACATGTTGTAGGTTTAAATAGTTGCAACTATCAGTATGAGTGACTTATCAAGGTAACCTTTCTCTTTTTATCTTTGCACCTAGTAATGTGTTTTCTTTTGGGGGGGACTTTTGTTGAACACACCAAGTAGCTATTCTATAAAAACCATTTCTAAGACTAGTCACATACCATATTATTATGTTTACTATGAGATGCACTAGTTTGAATGTGGCGGCAGGGCATACTCCCTTTGCTAGTCACACCTCCCCTCTGAAGAAGAATCCCAAGTTTAAATTCCCCATCCCCAAATGTTGTAATTGATATAAAAAACCATAAAATAGGGAACTTTTCATTGTCAGACCTTTCATATTTGCTCAAAAAAAAGGTTTTTTTTGTTCTTATGTGTAGTGCAATAATTTTCAGGGAGGATTTTAGTAATACGCTTCGAATACTTGTTGCTACGGATTGCCATCTGGGCTATATGGAGAAGGATGAAATACGGCGGCATGATTCTTTCCAGGCATTTGATGAGATATGCTCAATAGCAGAACAAAAGAATGTAATAGCTAAGTTTTCCTTCTAGCTGTATTTGTAGTATCACACTTTGCAATAGCGGTTTGCCAGTGTGCATTGTTTCCCTTTCTTCAATTCCTTTCAATTTTGAGTCCACATTTGGACAAATACTGTATTGCAAAGCTCTATTCCTTATACTTTCTGTGAACCAAATATATTTACGAACACATTTCAAAATTTATCTACTATCAGGTGGATTTTGTGCTTCTCGGTGGTGATTTGTTCCATGAGAATAAGCCCTCAAGGTCAACTCTAGTTAAGGCCATTGAGATTCTTCGCCGTCATTGCATGAGTGATCGGCCAGTGCAGTTCCAAGTTGTTAGCGACCAGACTGTGAATTTTGCAAATACGTAATGACTCAATGCACCTTTGTTTTTTAGCTCGATTTTTTTATTGTAAATGATATGTCTAAGTTGACCTTTGGTTCCAGAACCCTATATATGCTATGAGTTGTGCAATAGGAACAAAACTTCCCTGCACAATTGAATTTAGGACTAAAAACTTCTATCTTTTTACTATAATGTGTTTTTGCATTTAGGTTTGTATCAGAAACCTCTCCCATTTGTATAAATCTTAGAGATATATTATAATACGGAATGCACCCTTCAGCTTATAACAGCATGTTTGTTCTAACAGATTTGGCCATGTAAATTATGAAGATCCTCACTTCAATGTTGGCTTGCCAGTGTTTAGTATTCATGGAAATCATGACGATCCTGCTGGAGTGGTATGTGTTCTTTCTGGTAAAATTGTGTGTGTATTTGCTTTCTTCCTTTTCTTTTGTGTGTTTTATATTATCAATGTCTTCTGATGAGAAATAGTATTAGAGCCATGGTTGTAAGATTATGTTGGCAATTTTTATTTTTATTATTTTATCCTATATAGCTCACTGGTCAAGTTTGTTGGTTGTAATAGGTGGGGTTCCATGGGATTCAAATTAGAAGTCTCATCAGCTTTCTTTTTTAAAATAAAAAAACTTATAAGCCTAGTCAGAAAATTTAAACTCACTGTTTCTTGATATAAACTCATAGTTAGAGAGAGAGAGAGAGAGAGAGAGAGAGAGAGAGTTGGGCTGCCAATTATCTCCATCTAGAAGAATAGAGTTATTTTGTTATTCCCAGAGAAATAGCAAGGAGCCTCTCTTTGGTACACTCATGCATATATTGAAATGTGTTTGCTACAGTTGTTCTTAGTACATGCATTTGTATTTCTTAATGCTGTGACTTTTGACAGGATAATCTCTCCGCTGTTGATATTCTCTCAGCCTGCAATCTTGTAAACTATTTTGGGAAAATGGTTCTTGGGGGTTCTGGTGTTGGTCAGATCACTGTGTATCCTATCCTTATGAGGAAGGTTAGTTTAAGAAATGATAAATAGCAGGCTTGAGAGTGTTTTAGGTCTTTATGTTGCATGGATCATAATTCCATCTGAATTGCAGGGTGCAACAGCTGTGGCTCTCTATGGTCTTGGGAACATCAGAGATGAGAGACTCAATAGAATGTTTCAGGTATTTTATGTTGAGCATTTGCTTTCTGCTGTTCGCTGGCAGGCTTCAAGTGCAATCACATATATGTTAGGTATATTATTCATATTTCAGACACCACATGCTGTACAATGGATGAGACCTGAATCTCAAGAAGGGTTGCAAGTGTCAGACTGGTTCAACATTCTGGTGCTTCATCAGAACAGGTTTGTCCAGTAAGAGAGAGAGAGAGAGAGAGAGAGAGAGAGAGAGAGAGAGAGATTTGGTTTTAAACCTTATGTTGTTAATCTTCCTAATTACGAAGAGATTTGATTTTAAACCTTATGTTGTTAATATTCCTACTTATGAAGTTACCCTATAATTCTCTCTGCAGAGTGAAGACAAACCCAAAAAATGCCATAAATGAGCACTTTTTACCACGTTTTCTGGACTTTGTGGTGTGGGGGCACGAACATGAATGCCTTGTGGACCCTCAGGTGCCAATGAATATTGCTTTTTCCCATATATGCAACATGCACATGTGTGTGCTTGTGCATACAAACTCGTGTGTGTTTGTGCGTGAGTGGTCTTTGTCTGGGTGCATATTTGGTTTCGTTGGGGAGGGTTTCTTACAGAACTGGACATGGATCTTTTTTTGACAGGAAGTTCCAGGGATGGGATTTCACATTACACAACCTGGTTCTTCAGTTGCAACATCTCTGATTGATGGAGAATCAAAGCCAAAGCATGTGCTACTTTTAGAAATTAAGGTTGCACATAAGTCAATGCTAGATGTATTTTTCCAGAAAGCAGCATCTTTTCATCCCTTTTATTTCCAAACTGTGTTGGATACTGATAGAGTTTTATGCAGGGGAATCAATATCGTCCAACCAAGATTCCTTTGACGTCAGTGAGGCCTTTTGAGTACACAGAGGTGATTTAGTGTTTATCTCTTCGTCTACATTATATTGAAGGATAACTAAGTTTATTTCAAAGACTAATAACTAAGTTTATTGAATACAGATTGTATTGAAGGACGAACCTGAAATTGATCCCAATGATCAAAATTCAATTCTTGAACACTTAGACAAAGTGGTAAGTTCAATTGGCCAGTAATATTGTACTGTTTTGCTTTCCTTTGCCTTTCTATTTTCCCTGTGTTATATCCCCTGATGCATGTGCTATATATATTTTAATAATACAGCTTTGAATTTCTATAGGTCCACTCTCTGATAGAGAAATGTAGAAAAAATGTTGTTAGCCAATCACGGCTCCAACTTCCATTAGTCCGCATAAAGGTAATATTTCCATTTTAAACTTAAGACAGATAGTGATCTTCATATCTGCATCCCCGTATCTCTCTTAGTTTTCTTCCTGTCCCTTGTCTTGCCGTTGAATTTACAAATTATTTGCATGCATATGGATCTTTTTTAAAAATAATTTTTTTCATGTGTCCTTGACCCCCTTCCAGAGTGACCATTTAACTTTTCTCATTCATTTGGCAGGTAGACTATTCTGGGTTTATGACAATAAATCCTCAAAGATTTGGACAGAAGTATGTGGGGAAGGTACTTCACTCCACTAATCCTAGATCAGTAATCTAGTGCTGATTTTTATGAGTATCACATTTGAAAAATAAATTACTGTTATTCTAATGACTTTAAGGTTGCAAACCCACAAGACATTCTTATATTTTCAAAGGCTTCAACAAAGAGCCGGAGTGAAGGTACTCACCGCACTAGTAGATTTTGACTTGGTTGATTTTTTTACTTTATACCATCTTTTCAATTCCATCAATTGATTTTCTTCATATTAACTTGATTGGTCGATTATGTAACACAATCCAAATAGTTAAATCTTAGTTTTGTCAACAGTCTAAAGTCTTTCGCTTACTAATGCTACAGTTTTGTTATGTTATATCTCAAAGCAAAGTGATGGTAATAAAATTTGATAGAACTGTAAAGAATTCTGTCCATGTTAGAGAAGTTCCATTCATATCCTGTACTCTTATTTGTACCTGATGCTAAAAAATTTCGCTTAAATTACTTACTTTCTACCTTACGAAGCTCGTTGGTTGGTCCATTACTTTATTTGTTCAGGACAACTCTTCAAAATTGTTTAAATTGGTGAAAATCTTTTGTATGGTTTTTAATTTGTGTCTAAAGGGACGAAGGGGGTGGGATGGTGGTCGTTTCAAGCCTCTAAGTCGAAAAGGTGCTCAAAGTCATTGTTTCCATGCGCTCTGCCCTTTTCTTTTTATAAAACTGTGATTCTATAGATGAGACTGCTGCTACTGTGAGTTTGTGCTTGTAAGGCATCATCTAAGTACTGTTTGATGAATGTTTCTTTTGTATGATTTTTAATTTGTTTTCAAAGGGAAGAAGGGGGTGGGATGGTGGTTGTTTCAAGCCTTTAAGTCAAAAAGGTGTTCAAAGTCATTGTTTCCATGCGCTCTGCTCTTTTCTTTTTAAACTGTGATTCTATAGACGAGGCTGCTGGTACTGCGAGTTTGTACGTGTAAGGCATCATCTAAGTACTGTTTGATGAATGCCTAGGTCGAATGTTCAGGGAATTGGATTCCATCTGACTCAGCTTTTTTCTGACTGGTGCAAATGAAGAATCTCATCCATATAAAAGAACTACTGTAAAGACGCCTCTCTTCCCCCCCATGGAAGAAAGTTTACATTATTAACATATTGAATAGATTTAATATTTAAATTGAAACTTAATATGATTTTGAACAGAATTTCACATTATAGGTATAAGGTGGGAGGCTATCTATTTTTTTTTCCCCCAAGTAATGTTATAATTCCGAAGAAAAGTTCAGTCGACTAAAAGAGATGGAGAAACAATTAAGTTATTAGCATTAGACTTAAATGATGATGATCAGCAGCCAATGATAGAATCATTCGGAGCAATAAAATTTTCTGGTACCCGAACGTGTGGGCACCAGAGCACTCCAATTGGAGTTGGACCTTGCTATGTACTTTGTTGTTGAAGTTCAATGTTTTTTTTTTTTCGGGTTACTATGACTCTGGTGATCGTATCACTTCGATAGTAGAATCTTTTACTCAGGGATTTCCTTACCATCAGAATTTTGCTGCTGATGTCCATTAAATGTTTAGCATTCATATATTTGACAGATTTGATTACGTAATTCTGATCTCTGTATTGTAGCCAAAATTGATGATTCTGAACGGCTTCGCCCAGAAGAATTAAATCAGCAAAACATAGAGGCTTTAGTTGCCGAAAACAATCTGGTATGAGCCGTCGTCTTCCTCCTTTCCTTTTCATTGCATGTATTCCGTATATCATGCCATCTTGTACATCTCACCCAGTGGAACACTAGATTGTTCATATACATAATAGAGTTTGTTAGTTTCTTGCAAATAAACAGTTCCACAAGTTGCTCAGAAACACACTTTAACTGACTTCTGGCAAACATTTTCAGTGAGAAACAGAATGTGATTTGCAATAGCCACCAAATTCTTAGGCATTGTTGCAGCATGGCTCCTTTCTCTTTTTTGCTTGCATAAGCAAGGATTTAGTAATTCCCAAATATGATTTCCGTTTTGGGTTACTGGTAATATGGAAGTCATGTAACAAATATTGAAAATGATAATGGAATTACTTATAGCATGTACATTTTATTTTAAGGTTAAAAGTTAAAACCCTGATGGTGATATTTAATCGTGCAGAAAATGGAGATCCTTCCTGTCAATGATTTGGATGTTGCATTACATAATTTTGTTAGTAAGGATGACAAGATGGCTTTCTATTCTTGCCTGAAATACAATCTTGAAGAAACTCGAGTAAGTGCATTTTAAACCTAGTTTGTGTAGATCGAGTGATCTTTTCCTTTTGTTTTCAAATGATTACTTCCTGTTATGTTTAAAATTTCATATATTTATTTTCTTTTGGATTTTGCTAATGATAATCACTTTTGTAATTCTTCAGAACAAAATTTCTAAGGATCCAGACACTGTGACATTTAAAGAGCAAGATTTGGTCCTAAAAGTTGGAGAGTGCTTGCAGGCAAGAATAACTACTTTTTATATATTTTTCTATCATCAAGGTAGTGGTAAAGTAATAACTGTTCTAGTCAGAGTTTCATGGACAATTATGTTGGGTCCTTAGGGATTGTCATTGGGGTTGAAATGAGGCAGGCAGTTCCAAAATGCATAGCAGACTCAATTTAGTCCCTTGAGACCTCTTACACTAATGTCATTTAGGTCTACGGCTTTAGTTGTTAGATGTGGGAAAAACATATATACGTGATTCAAAAGGTTGGGAATTTATTGGTAATAAAAGGAACTAATAAAAGAAAATAAACATAAAAGTCTGGGAATTTGGGGTTTCTAGGTTTGGTAAAAGGAGTTTATAGACGAGAAGACAAACAACACATTCTTCTCTCAATCTGTTGTGGCCTAAGCATCACAAGGGCAATTAAGGAGGGTTTACATCCAATTGACATTGACCATAATTTATATTATATCGTTTACACGTGCAGGAACGTGTCAAGGAAAGGTCTACTCACTCTAAGAATAATTCTCCATTCACCTCAACTGCTCCATCTTGGGAGGTAATTCTGATTTTAGTCTGCTTCTGTGAATCACATCAGTTATCCCATGTGGCTTCCATTTTAGAATCTTTTGGGTTCATACATATGCCGAATATCTACATTTTAAGCTTCCGTTCTTCATGTAGGATTTCAGAAGTACAAGTGCTGCAGGAACTGCAAGTGCAGTTTCCTTCAGTGATGATGAAGATACAACACAGATGACGGGCTTAAAATCCACTTCCAGGGGCCGCAAGGGCCCATCCAAGCCGTCTTCTTCAGAAGTTGGCAAAGGTAAAACTTCTACAAGAGGAAGGGGAAGGGGTAGGGGTAGGGGCTCCAGTAACTTGAAGCAGACGACTCTCGATGCATCTCTTGGATTCCGGCAGTCTCAGAGGTTTTTCTTTTACCCAAGTTTGAGGAAATGTTTAATCAATTGAGAGGCCCCTTCATTTTAAAATGTTAATTATAAATAAAATTCAGAATTATTTACACTAACACCCCCTTGAGGTTTTTCGTGTTTTCACATACTCCCTAAGGTCCTAGAAATTACACAAACACTCCCTTAGTTTCAAAATGGTTTCACATAAGTCCATAAATTCAAAAAAACCTAAAAATTGATGTAAAAGGACTTCTGCAAATACTAAAATACCCTTCATGGTATTAGAATATTAATTCCTACTCATTATTACAACAAAAAATAAAAATAAAGAAAAATATCCTACAAATCAGATGCATCATACACATCCCACACCAAGAAAAAAAATGCTTCATCTCCTCCAGATCTTCTCAATCTCTTAGAAGATGCAGAGATAAATGAGATGGAGGCGTCCTTTTTTTATTTTTATAATAAAAGTAAAAAATATCCTAATACCATGAAGGGTACTTAGTATTTGCAGAAGTCCATTTACATCCATTTTTAGTTTTTATTATTATTATTATTATTTTATTATTATTTTTAAAATTTTAAATTTAAGGAGTTATGTGAAACCATTTTGAAACCTGAGGGGGTGTTTATGTAATTTATAGGACCTCAGGGTGTTATGTGAAAACACGAAAAACCTCAGGGGGGTTGTTAGTGTAAATAACTCACAAAATTCATTAGCTTTATAGGTGTAAGCAAGAAACATATGTAGGAACAAATTAGCAGTAAAATCTGATCCTCCCACCTTTCTCTGTCTTGTCTCTGTCTCTGCGTGTGTGAGTTGTGGTATGTGTTTTTATTCTCACTGGTTTTCAACATTAATGTCTAGCACAAAAAGCAAGTAGAAAACAAAAAGAAGCAGTTGAGATGAAAAAGAACTAATATCAAATCCCGAGAACACACCTAATGCCCTCTTCTTACTAAGAAATCAACTCTGGTTGAAGACTTGAGTTAGAGGAGTAAGAGAAGTAGTTAACTGCATGCAGTAGAAGTCTGCTAATATGTTGAGACATTCATGTTCCCACGTAGTCAAGTGTCTTAACTAATATAGTTACTGCAGATCTGCATCAGTTGCTGCAACTGCTGCTGTCCGAAGTATTGCCGATAATGGGGATGATGTGGATTCTCCTTCAAGTGAAGAGTCAGGGAAATTTGGAAATGATGAGGTGGATAACAGTTCGGTATGGATTACCTTCCTGCTAAACTGGATTTTGCCATTAAATCAGTGGTAGCTAAAGAAAAGTTGAACATGCTGTTCTTTTCTATGTTATACTGCCAATTCACTGTGTGGAACAGTCTGATTCATATGATGTTTTCCAAGTCCAGCAGCATACTACCCCCTTTTGCCTTGAGTCAGCCATTATATCTTTTCGCACGTACACGTTCCATCAACAGAATCAATGTGGTTTATAATATTCTTTTGATAAGACAATGTTGTTTCTATTATTGAAGGAAAATGATGAAAGTCTTCAGAGTAGAGGACGGAAAAGGGCTGCTCCAAGGGGGAGAGGTAGAGGCTCTACACAACCCTCTAAGCGTGGAAAGAAATCCGATAACTCTGCAATTAACCGAATGTTTATGAACAAAGATGATGAAGATGACGATGAAGAGGATCTGACGAAGAGATTTAATAAACCTCTGCCTCGGGTTGTTCTTTGTTCTATTTATTTACCTGTATTCCTAAAAATCAATGTGAAATATACTACTGCCAGTTTGGGTAGTTCAGAACAATTCTAGTTTTTATTCTTGTGAGATTTGTAACTGGTCCTGACTTTTTCCTTCTTCCTGTTTTGTAGGTCACAAGAAACTATGGCAATCTAAGAAGGTAACAATCAATCAAGTTAACCCGTTGCAAGGTAGGCCAACTTGATGTCCTGTTCTCTACCTCATGTACCTCCATTCTGGTGCATAATGACATACACAATCCTTTAATAGAAGCTTATGCTTGAAGTCTACGGTCAAGCAGTTTGACCATGTTCCTAGCGGTGAGGTGCAGTTCTAGAATGTAATTTGATTGTTGGAAGAGTGGATGCCCACTTCCTGTTGATCCTGTGACTCTACTAATTGGGTTTGAGTGATACATGATGTGCGGCAGCTTAAAACATTTTGGGGTATTGAAGTTACCATAATTTTTTTCAGCAGGTTTCCGAAATTAGGGTTCTTAAGTAAGTTCTGATGGAAATCATTTAATTGCTAAATTTGTTTATCTGTCAATACTCTTTCAATAATACGCTTGTGGTTAGCGCCATTCACCCAAAAAAAAAAAAACAAAAACAAAAAAATCACCACGGGGGCAAAAATATTGAACACCTCAAAGCTGTGCGCATAAGAAAACCAATATCGGCTATCAGAAGGAATTTCATAGAAACACTGAAGGATTCTCCCAGTGAGAGAAATTGTCTACAAAGTTTAATTCCATAAGAACCAAAACGTACAGCCAAAATCTTGAAAAATAAGTGGGGGCAAAACTTTGTTTCACTCTATGTTTCCTCCAGTGTTAGAAATGATGTTAGATTTAACGCTATACATACAGGTCCGTTAGGCTGCACTGGTCTCTCATCTGAAATGGGGCCTCTTGGGAACTTCCTTCAAGCTTACCAAAGGGCTCTGACCACTGAATTTTTCCTGCTCAAAAGAAGGTCAACATCAGATTTTAAGTGAAAATGTCTTAAAATTAGTACAGAATCCCCTAACAGAATTATGAACCTGCAATTCATCAGCAATACACTGAGATACTAATGGGACATCATATTGTGATTACGGAACATAAATATAATTAGAGAAATCTACTGCCCAAGACATGATGCTCAATCTATATTGTAGCACATACAAAAGTCCAATGAGGTTTGTCCTACTGAAAATAAATAGTAAGGATAGTACATATAGAGAGGACGAAACTGTGGATACTTCCATGTTGGGAAGGAGTTGGACCTTCAAAACCTGGCTTTGGAATCTCTAAGGTATTGGAAAGAGATTGTTTAGTATCAAGTACCCATCAGTTCTAAAACTTGTTTTGCTACTTTCAAGTTGGGAAGAAAGGCGGGATAGAAATAGTTTTCTCAATCTTCTCAAAAGCTACAATATCTATCCTTCAATCCCATTAAAAGGAACTAAAATGAGAGACCCCAAACACTAACTGTCTACACCACCACTTCAACCTCCACTAACTTCATCTTCTTTTGCAAACACCTAAGAGTCCTAAGCTAGACAAGGTTAGCCCTAATGAAATGTATAGTTTCAGCTGTAGAAACAACGATAAATCTCCAAAATCCCTCCACTCCGACACAACACTTAATGTCAGAAACACTGCCTCATCTGACATACCACTTAACATCTTCATTGGCCAATTAAACCTAGGACATGAAAGAATAATCTTTTTAACTCTTATTTTTATTAGAAATTGTCTTAAGGAAAGAGAGTTTCAATGAGATATGTTTCCCTATATTAGTGCATTAGCATCCTGTTAGGCTACTCATCATCGGAATTCTCTCAGCAGTTCAGCACCTTTCTATATGCTACTTACTGTCAAATCAATGTTGACAAATCAATTACTTGCCATACTAGCTTATCTCCTTGGAGAGCTGAAAATCGATTTATTTTTTGAACACTAAAAGTCAAAAGAGTTGCTTTTACTCTGCTGGCTTTATGTACAGAGAAAGATGAAATTTTTTTTCCTTTTCGACAAAGGAAAAAAGATAACAAGGAACCAATCAATTGACTATTAACTTATATGTACCTTTCCAGCCAGTCCTGTTCTGTCATTCCTTTGAAAAATGCTCTCTTTAGTCCCCTTCGGACTCCAAACCATGGTTACAGCAGTAATGTCTTTGCTATTGCCTTTCTGACTCCCAACGATCCTCCTTTTCACATTCTCTTTTCCAGAGGCAGCCAATCTGTTAGATCTACCAACTACTACTTTCTCCTTAGATTTTACAGTAGTAGTAATTGATTTCTTTTCATGAACTCCAACTGGTTCCAAAGGTTTCCTTCTGAAAGTCTGATATTGAACCTACACAATCAGTATGATTCATGTTAATATTAATCTTGTGGTCCATCACTATATATTATGAAGCAAGATCAAAATCAGTAGGAATTACAAATAAATTGCAACTGAACCATGAGCAAATATAGGGGCCCTAAAAATGCTCTTCTGAAGCTTTTTTGTGGGGGGGGGGGGGGTGTGGTTGTTTGGGGTGTGTGTGTACGTGTGTGGGTGGGAGAGGGGAGGAGATTGGGTTTTATAACATAACTCAGTTTAGAAAACTATATTACTCCTTTTTTTTTCTGCAAGTATCTAGATTACACAAACTTGAACACCAGTATTAATAAGAAAACCTTGAACAGCAGTTAATTTCAGCAGTCAAAGTCAATATATGAGTAACCAACAATCAATTAAGGATCACCCTTGAATAACCTTGCAGCCAAACAAAACCAAGAGAGTAGCTTTGACGAGGATATTTTGAACACCCACAACCAAATTGAGACTTGTGCTAAAACACCAAGAACAAAAAGCAACAAGATCTGATTGCAAGGGAGAATGAATTTCTTGTGAGGACCATGATTGGAAAGACAGAAAGAATAAAATATTTTTGACAATTAGTGAAGATGTCGAAGACGATAATGCATAAACCAAGCATATGACAGTAAAAGATGACAAATGACAATGAAACCAACAAGAGAAACAATGAACCCAAAAAAGGAAAAAGAAACCCTCTAGAGAACAAAATGAAAAGATGTGGTGAAGCCATTAAACAGATCTCTTTAAGAAGACCACATCTCAGAACCGATGCTTTGATAGCATGCTGAGAAAATAGGGAGAGAATGAGATACATTAATCTCAGCCCTAGAAGAGTTTAGATAGATTGCAGTCCTGGACTTAATGGGAAACTGAACAACAGCCTAATCAATAAGTTTAGGAAACCAGATCACACACCCATTAACTAAATATTCTAATAGACCTAGAAGCTAAGCTATAATATACTTCTATACTCCAACATGTATAGTAAGGTTATTTAGACTAGTCTCTTACACAAGTGGGAACCTATTTCCGATATCTGTACGTCATCTTTAAGCGAACCATGGCTTAGAATTTTTCAACTTAAGAAAACACGAAAATCTTCAGTCTGTGTTTCAGATTAGTACATCTCACACCTTTGGTTTTGCAGCTTCCAGGTGGACTGGCTTTGCAACATTAGGTGCCATTCTGTACTTTGTAGTCCCTCGATCAATCTTATGAGTTGTCTTGGATACTCTAGAAGATTTTATTCTGTTACTGGATGCATGAGTCATTCTGGCCACATTTCTGCTATCTGGGGTTCTTTCTTTGTACTGTATCGACGTAGATGTTGAGGTCCTGCCATCATTACAAGGATTTGAAGATGATCCCACACTAGACTTGCTGGATGAAGATTTATGGCCTCTTGATTGCCTTCTATCACCATTAATCTCCACTCTGGATGCTGGCCTTGTAACACCGCTTTTCCTCAGACGAGCCTTTATGACTGACAATAGCCCATTTGCTTGACTCAACGCCTGATTTGATTTCTCCGTAAACTTCTGTTGTTTCTGCTGGTCACTCTCAGATGTAATGGTGCTTGTTGTACTGCTTTCATCTGCCCTGTTTGTCATAGAATTCAGAGTACATGTTGGATCTTCACAAGAAGATATTGGCTTAGAGCAATTGGGTATGGGATTTCCAAAGAAACTGCTTTTACAAACTGAACTTGATTTGGAACTCGATGTTCCTTTCAAATGTATAAAGCTTGATTTGGGTTTCATCTCATCACTGGACCCTGAATTCCCGCAGGAAGATGTCCCACTCAGAACTTTTTCCGGGTTCCGCTTATCTAATGAAAAATCCTGGTTGTCCCCTATCCATTTCTTGTTTACAAAGTCTTTGCCTCTTGACTTAGAGACAGAAGAGGGAAGTTTTGGCGAAGATGGTCCCTCTAAGTCATAGTTTAAGGCCATAATATCCTCACCGGAATTGGAAAATGCAGCCTTCAACTGGCGAGAAGAGCATTGGTGGAACCTAATAATTCATCAAATTACTATAACTCAGCATCCGTATTCAAAGACATGAATTCCAAAGCCAAAATAGAGAAGACCGCATAATCAAAGGGGCAAAGGATACTTACAGGTGGCTTCTGTAAAACCACTCATCATCACTGCAATATATTCAAAAAAGAAGAATTAAAATTGGCATGGCATACATAACTTATAAATTATAAGATCCTGGAAACCATTTCTTTCGTTAAAAAAGAAAAAAAATGTGTGGGCTGAGTATACTAGAACCTACATATGTTGGTTGTTTGAGTTGGATTCTAATGTAAGATCCACCCATATAGGAGCTTCAATTTCTTCCTGTATCAATCAGAAAAAAGAAGAAGTAAATATCAAGTAAACTCGAGGCCCAGAAAAATTGCAAGAAATTGAAGAGATTGCAATTTAATCTTGATTCTTGACATAATAATGGGGTTTTATAAAGATTTAAAACGCTAAATCCTTTTCTATTCCCACATTTGTAAACAGAGAACCAGAACGAAATCAACTCCGAATTGATAGCCGAGCATAGATGCAGAAAGAAAACTATGAATAGGTAAATCAAAGCAAGCATAATCAGAAGATGCACTTTCAGAGTTGATTAAGATAACTTGCGAGCAAAATGCAGAATAAGAAATAGATATAGAAGGGTAAACATGAACACTAATAAAGAATGCAACATCCAATATGAAAACTTGGAAATAAATAAGTAAATACTAAAGCCCAAAAAAAATCCAAAAATCCAAAATCCCAGAAAATGAAAACAATGGTAAACTCAAATGAACCCAGAAATGACACTAAAGATACCATATTCATATTCAAGAACCCCAAGAAGAGGACCAACATTTCAAACAAATCAGATTACTGAATTCAATAAATCCAAGATCATTTGGGATGAAAAATTAAACAAAGACAAATAAAACCTAAGCTTACAAACACAAGAACCCAAATTCCTAAACCAGAAAAACCCTTAACACCGACAGAGAAGAAGAGAACAAGTTCAAGAAAGATGAAATCTTTACCAGAAAAGCCCAGTGATCATTGCTTTTCTTCAAAACCATATTCTTTGTCATCTTCAACCTCCTTGTGTCACGCT